CTCCGTCCTTCCAACCCAGGGCTTGCTCTGTGAGGATGAGGTCTGCAAGGAACCAAAGCAGGCTTTGCCCCACTGCTCTGCTTTATTCTCTTACGTAGCCCATACTATTTAGTCCTTTCCTGAAAATACATTGATTTTTGTAGAGGAAGACCAGAGTGAATGGATGAAGGGGAGCGTCCTAGTTTCAGTGTGTTTTTCTCTGAAGAAAATGTAAGATTATCCTTGTTAGGACAAACTAATTGATTTCTGGCTGACTTCCATTTTTCACTTCATGTATCACCCTCCCTGCCTCTCTTCTATATTTTATCCCTTCGTATAAACCCCGTGTTTATTTCTCGGCAATTACGCATGTCTGGACGAATGTAGTAAATTGTACAGCTATATTTTCCTCAATATAGGCATACATTTTTACCCTCTAAAAATTGCTTATGCAAATATGTTGATAAGAAAATAGATATGTAGTGTGGCTCTTTTTCATGAATGTTGATGGGTTTCTGTAGCAAGAAGGTTTTCTCTGCAGTCGGGGCAGCTGTAAACATACTGCAAAAGATAATTTAAAGAAATTTCCTGTTCATATCCACTCTTGTGAGTTTTAAGAGGAAGGAGAGGTGTTAGCCTAGCCATGCTCTGCTGATTCTCCCACGTAACTTGGCTCTCCTTTTTAGTCCTGCCTCCTGATTATCTTTGCAGTCTATATATTAGTTTCATTCTAGAGTGTTCGAGGGACTGGCCGTGTCCATGGACAACACAACCCTGGGTATCTCTGTCCTTTTGCACCGTTGCCCTGTGGTTCTCCTGGGCCCAGCCACGAGCCGTGCCATTCCTGCCAGAGCTGTGGAACCCCTTGACAAACGTCCCCTGCGGCGGTTCAGTGTCACACCTAGATCTGCTTTTCTGGGCTGGAAGGCCGTTACAGATTTCCCCTTCTTTCCTTTGCCTCTCATTTTCCCAGCATTACTGCTTGCTCGGGGTAGTGCTCCTTGCCCTGGCTGGGGGATCTGCAGGAACTGGGCAGGTTTGTCGTTGCTGTGCAGCGGTGCCACATCTGTAGGGAGTGATGGGACCAGAGCTTGGGGACCCTGGGACCATGAGCTGCCAGGGGAGGGTGTGCAGCTCCTGTGTCATCTCACTGCTCAAGCCTCCTTGGGGGAGGGTGAGTTTGCCTTTCCAGACAGCAACAGCCTGGTTTCAGAGCCAGCTGAAGGAGGTTTATTACTTTTTTTATTATGATGCTAGCTTTAAAAAAAAAAAAAAAAAAAAAAAAACCCAAAACAAAAAAAAAACACACACACACAAAACAAACACACAAGGGAAGGGTTTCAGCCATTTGTTGTTTGTTGATGTATTTATTACCTTAAAAGACTTAACCAGGTAGTGAAAAATTCAATAAAAAGCCTGACTGCATTAGTCTGAAATAACACCGATGTTCGGCATTTGCTCACACGGTATATGAATGTTATGAAACTATTTCGAGTCTTCAATCTTGTTATCTATGGAATAATCACAGTTGTTAAAATCCAATCTGCATATCTTGTGGGTAATGGAGGCTGTTCTCCCCCCACCCTCTATTTGTCTGTTTTTTATTCCTTAACAGAAGTAATTGCTTTCTATGACACACTTTAAAGGATTGCTCGCATTTCTTAGTGTTCTATAGCTGTGCTCTTGCAGCACTAAAATTATTTAATATTATTTAATCTGCTGTTGTAATGAATTCCAGGCAGCCTTCATCTGGTGGTTCTGATGGGAATGGCATCGTCACCGTTGCCTGCAGCAGGCAGCCCCCAGCCTTCACAGCTCCGTTGTGTCAGGAGCTGCATGTTCAGGTGGAGTCAAAATTAAAGAGCTTAAAAATCTCCTTTTGGCGACTTCAGGAAAGTTCAGGACGCAGAGCAACACACGTGGTTTTATGCAAGCCTGGAGGGTTTTATCCCCAGGGACGTGGTGCTTCGAGCAAAGGGGGGCGAGGGGGGCGGGAGCAGGGGGCAGCTGCTCAGCAGCACAGCCCGAAAGCCGGCGGGCCTGGGCGCGCTGCTGGAGCTCCATCCTTGCCTGCCCCACCGCCGAGGGCTCTGCTGCCCGGCTCCGGAGGAGGGGGCTTTTGGGGACTGGTGGTGGGAGGTATTTGGTTTTATTTCCTTCTGCTGGTAACCTCAGCAGAGGTCGCTAATTGTTGGAGAATGGCTCAGAGACAGGGGTCCTGAGCCCACCGAGCAGTTGTATGATCAGAGCCTGCTCTGGCTGCTGGTGCTGGGCCTCACTAGGGTTTGCCTGCAGCTGCTGATACAGGAGGAATGTCAAGGACGCTCCAGCCCTGTGTACCGTGGTGTGTCGGGAACAGGTTAAGGGGAATTAGGAATAGTGGTCTGAGAAACCCAGTGTTATGGTAACGGTGGTCTGAGAAACATTGTGTTACGGTACTGTCGTGTATTGAAAACAAGTCAACAGGAATTAGAAATAGTAGCATGAGAAACTTAGTGTTATGAGAAGCTTGTGCTGTAAGCTAACTGCAAGTAGGTGGACCGTGCGAATACGACCTTTAGAGCTTAAGCCAATCAGCTAGTGACTAGTAGGCATAATAATTATCATTGTCTGTATAAATATATGTACCCTGGACCAATAAAGACACATGTTGATTGATGCTCTATCTCCCACACTGAACCCATCTCGGCGTGTCGTTCGTCCGCGGCTCCGCAGCTAATTCCGTGGAAAAACAGCTGATGTGGCGAGATACGGCCACAGCGTGATGCGGGGCAGGGTAAAAAAAGAACAGTTTGCCTCTGAAAAGAGAGAAGCCACCTTATTCTGTCCCAGAAACTCATGTCAGACTCTTCCCTGTGTGAGACCGCTCTTGCCCGTGGCAGGGCTATGCTGATGTTGAAGCTGCTGTGGATGATGCAGGCACTAGCACTGACGCCAGCCCTTTCATAGGATGGTGGGGTTTTACCCACCCGTTGGCAGTTAAACTGGTGGTTAGTGCGACTGCATCACCGCTGACTGGCTTGCCACAGCAACGGTCTGAGTGGGGCTTCTTCTAGAAATAGTCCAGAAATAGTTCTCTATCTCCTGCAGGTAATAGTCTGCTGGTTTTGTGCGGTTTCTAGGTTTAAGATTCTGGAGAGGCAGATGTCTATGCCGGTGTTTGGGTTGGGGGTGGTGGCTGCAGTCCATACTCTCATTTCAGCTGGTCTGGGTGGCACCAGCATCTCCTGTGGCTTTGGTGTTTTTCCTGAGCTACTCTTGACCACAGGATTAACGGCTTGTTGCAAGATCCCCCCTTCCATCCCAGGATTAGAGCATCCCGTTGGTTTTCAAGGAAATGGGCTTTACGGAATTACCTGTTCAGTTGAGTTCTTCCAGTCTTGATGGCATTTTTGTTCTTTATGCGCTACGTTTCTATTAGTTGGCCTCAGGGATATCAAGGGACCCATTGTGGGAATAAGTTCAACAGCTCGTGTGCTGAACTACCCTCCCGTGTGGTAAAAGGCTTTGCTGGATCCTGTGAGTTGGGGGGGTTTTGCCCTTAATTTGTGCGAGAATTAGCTGAGTGTTAGTGACTCAGATCTGGGGGGAGCAGGGAGTCTTACTCGTGGTGTGGACTCGTCAGCCAGCACCTCCACCCGCACTGGGAGGGAAGCTCAGGTCTCCTGAGCCTGGTCCCTGTCCCGGCCCGGCCACTTTGCAGGCGATACGTTGTCTCCTGCTCTTGCTGTACGTGCGCGGGAAAGGACGCGTTGCCTTGGTTGAAACACGGCCTCCGTGTTAGCGGATGAGGAATGAGCGCTCGGCGAGTTTATTTACAGCGAGACTTGTTCCCTGCTGTTATGACTCTGCAGTCTCACATCTCCGCTCTGTGCGGAGGACGACTCCTGCAAGAATTCGCTGTAATTACGCAGGCGGCAATAGATTAGCGTTAGCAATGTTTGATTGCAAAATTTTGCAGGTATCAGCAGTTTTTCCAACCAAAAAAGCTTTTAGCTCTTGGGCAGAAAGTCAAGTGCCATTTTAAATGCATAGCCATCAGGTTTTTGAAAAAAACAGGGAGTCAGTCTGTTTTCCCTCTTCTTTTTTTTTTTTTTTTTTTTTTTGGATGAAGTGCATAATAAGCTCTTAGCTCAGATAAATCCTAATTGAGGATTCAGTCAAGGCTGTTGCTAAATTAGCAGAGCAGGTCTGCTAGACAAATGCAGCTTCAGCTTGTCAAAATAGGCAATTCTTAAAATTCTCACATGGAAAGAGGATTCATGTCATGAAACCTTTTTATCTTCCCCTGTTCCCAAACACAGCCCTCTTGCCCCTTTCAAGAATCACCCAAATCCATCCCAATCGCCACAGCACGTGGCTCTGGTGTTGCTCCCGTACTGTTTTGCCAGGATGTGGCTGACCTGGAGTCCGTGTCTCGCGCTCTGAACAGGGGCTTTGGTTGACCTTAGAAAGGTCCCTCCATCAAAGGGTTTGTGGGCATTGCTTTCAAATCTACATGTTTCCTCAAAGGCTCTTCCAGTTCCCCAAACCAAAGTCTTGCAGATACAAGTGACCTGGGAAGGCTTTGGGATGCACCGTGGAAGCGTTCCTCCTGGCAGAGTGGGGCTGAAGTGGGGTAGGATCCTGTACAGAATCCTGTAGGATTCTGAGAGGTTTGGAAAGCACCCAACAGTCAAGCCCTCATGGAGATTATCTGCTGGTAGACAGCACTAAATGACTAAAGCTCTAAGAAAAATGGCCATCTTGTATCTGTGTGTGTTGTCAAACCCTGTGGATGAAATGTGGCTCAGAAACAGTACGTTCTGGGTATTTGTCCACCCAAATTTCTATTTTTCTATTAAAGCAGCTATCCTACATTAGCTTCTAGATGGCTTTACCCTGGATCTCAATGGGGCTAGAAAATTAAAAAAGGCTACAGCTGGGCAACAATTTAATGTGCACCCAGCTTGTCTTAGCATAAATGTATTTGGTACTCCTTATTGTGCCCTGGCTCAGTAACATATTTCTTTTCCTTCCAGTTCAAGATCAATGGTGAGTGGTGCACCTGGATCAACTATGACCGCTTCCAGGAGCTGGTGCGAGAGCACGAGAGGAGCAGCGGGTCCAAGACTTTCACGGCGGCTGATTACACAGCCAGAACTCCTCGCTGGGCACTGTTTGGGTCCAGAGAAAGGGGATTTGATCCCTTGGACGTAAGATACCAGCGGAAGAACAAAGCGAGAGACATCTCGGGGTGCTGAAGTTAGGTTGGGGCTCACCAGACTCCGGGCTGGCTGGCTGCTGAGTTTTGGTCTCCATTTCTAGACTAGCACCAATTTTGAATCTATTCACCTAGATTTTTCTGATGTTTGATATTGAGAAGGGGAGGGTAAAGCCTTTATTTAACCATTCCCTCCTGTTTTTAGGACTTCTTGGATAAAAATATTTATAATGATCTTTATCTCAAGATAAATCACAAATGGTGCATGCCAGCAATTTATCGTAACTGGCAGCACGAGGATGGAGGCAGTGGCTGTGGCCTCCTCAGGGGAGAGTGTTTGGAGCTGCATGTGGAGGGGGAATGTTTGTTTGACTTCTGTGCCCTGCTGCGAGGAGAGCCTGGCACGTGCTGGCACCCAACTCGGCAGCAAAATGTTCCGTGTCCATAAGGATAAGTGCCAAGGGGATTTCAGTGCCACAAGCTGGTTGGATCTGTGCAGGTGGGATGACAGACAGATCTGGCTTTAAAAGCCGTGAGCCCTGCTGGAAGTACCATTGTACAGATAGGAACAAAGATTTATGTATTTTAAACACTGGTGCCAGTTCCTATAAAGATCCCATCCCCAAGAAGCTGAAGCTTGGGAATTGCATAAGTAACAGCACCCCTAGTAATGTTGTCTGCAACTTCTGATATCTCTTCAAATATCTTCCAACTTGATGGGTTTGGCAATGAATACTTTCCAAGTAGTCTTACCCTGCTCCCACAGCAGCTCTAAACAACGTACATAATTCTTCAGAGCCCTGTTAGGGTCCCGCCGTGTGTGTCCCGTGTCCTGCTGATGGTGAGGACGTGCTGTGGGGAGCCAGCGGACTTGGGCATCAGCAGACGGCTTCCTTCACCCCACCCGGGCAAGTCGACAGCTCGGCTCAAACTAAATCTAGTTGAAATCTCTTGTGTCAAAAAAAATCAACTCTCAGTTTGAAGAGGCGATGTCTAGACATCGAGTCCAGTGGCACGTCCCCGGGTGTTGCTCTGGGAGTCACGTCTGGCACTCTGCTTGGAGGCACTGCAGCCCGACTGGAAAGCTGCGTTTAAATGAGAGGGGAACGGGTTGCTTTCTGTTGGGAAAATCCCCGCTTTCACGTGCTGAAGACCTCTCCCTTTCTGTTCACGCAACCCCTGTGTCGGTTGCAGTGCCCCGCGAGCTGCGCGGGAGCCAACACCCGCAGCAGGACCCCCGGTGTCTGGCTGCGGAACGGCTGAAGGAGGCTGCGCCGCTGCCGCTTCCCGGCGAGGCCCGGGGCCGCTCTCCTCCTCCCTCCCTGCGCCCGGCTGAATTTTGGGGGGGGGGGAATGGGCCTGGAGTGGGAGGCCAGCAGGCAGCGGGGCTCCTCCGCCTGCTGCGTGATGGCTTGATCTGCTCCAGCTAAAGCCCTTCAGCCCGGAGCCTGGTTGAACCAGCTGCAGGAAGAGGTTTAATTTGGACCCAGAGGTGTCGGCTGGTGAGGGGAAGAAAACACGAATCAGTGCGAGGGATTTTTGTTTTCCTGTTGAACTCCAGGAGCACAGAGCAGAGGGTGTTCACAGCGCTCCCACCTTAACGGTGAGGTCCATAAGCCTGAGGTTCCCACTGCCCCACGGTGCTGTTGGTGGTGAGAATTCCCAGGGTTGTGATTTTATCTCTTTTTGAAAGAACCTTGTTTCTTAAACAGTAAAAAGTATTTCTAAAGAAGAAAGAAAATAAAGTAATTTTCCCTAGAGCACCTTTGTTGTGTCACTGCTGTATGAGACTTTGTCAGAGGGGATGCTGAAGGGATTTTAAGGAGTTCAAAGGCACAAACATTGCACAATATCTTCTTTTTTCTTATAAGCGTGTGGAGTGGAAGGGAGAGCATCTGTGTATTGTGGATGATGGAGAGGGCTTGGCTGATGGGAGGCTGGCTCCCCTCCCCAAAGCACTGAATGGAGGTTGGAAGTGGTGGGAAGAAGTTGCCATGCTTCCTCAGGCCGATGCCAAACAGGACACAGGTGCCACCAGCAAGCCCTGGGGAGGGACCAGGACATTTTCAAGCCGTCTGGCCATCGTCCTGCAGCAGAGACCTGGCCCAATAACGTTTGCTGCTTTGTGTGCATGGCAGCACCAAAGTCCAACTGTGGGACTCTCAACCCCAAGGTGTCCACACTGTGATTTGCATCTGGCTGGAGGCTGAGCACCAGAAAATGGTTTTTTTATGTTCTTAGTGATGTTTTTTGCTGTTCAGTGAATGGTGGAGGAAAGACATGGATTCATTAAGGGCATTGAAATCTCTGGGTAAGGATCTTTGTGTGTTTGATTCAGCAGTGGGCACCTGTCTTAAAGCAAGGTCTCCAAAATTACTTTCTTCTTCCTTTCATGACCATATTTTCAAAAAATGGGAGGTTAGTCTTAGAGACTTGGTTTCCTTAAGGACCTGGCTAGAGAAAGGGTGCTCTCCTTTCCCCTCATGGAGAAGGATTTGTTGTGTTCCCACCCCAGCTTCTCCAGGGACAATGCCATCCTCTGCTCAGTTGCTCCCCTGTCCTCTCGGTCGTGTTTAACACCACTTAACTCCCAGCTGGGCTTTGGAGTGAAGGTTAACAGCACAGGAAAACCCAGGTGCTCTGTGTTGAAAGATTTGAAGATGTTAACAAGAAAAAAAAAATATGCATTTACTAGGGAGACCTGTTCTCTGACTCCTGCTTCTGATGGGAGGAATGCTGTGTGGAAAAGGTGACTTCTCAAAAATTTCCAGTGTTGGACCACATTTGAGTTAAAAGCTGTTGTGTTCTGGGGTTATTTTGAGGAACTAATGCAGTTTGACTAAAAATATTGGGGGTGAGATGCAGCTACCTGAATGCAGCTGTTTGGTAGGTGCCAGAGACTTCTCCAGCCACCAGCTCTGCTCAGCAAGGCTCCTGGAAGACCTGGCTCTGTGTCTGCCAGCGTGGGCACATGTCCCAGGGCATCTCCCAAGCCACCAGATGTGCACGGTTAGGCTGTGGTCTTCCCTGCTTTCTGCTCAGCTGTGGTATTACAGTCATCCTCATTCCTCTGGGTGACTTCTTGTACAGGTGGAGCAGGGGGGGACCTTCCTGTAGCCAAGGCCAAGGGAAGGGAAGTTCTTTTTGCCGTAGGAAATAAAGGTCCACAAGCATTTCACTGCCTCTTCATTACCAACCTCCTGTGGGTCCAGCTGAGGTCAGTGGCAGCTTAGGCAAGACAGGAGCTTTTTGTGGGACTCTTGTTAACCCCGGAGAATCAGTTGTGTGTGGGTGTAGCAGGAGTTTTGGGCCGGCATGTTTGGTGTCTACCATATTCCCCTTGACGGATGCCAGCTCTGTCTGTACTATTCCTCCTTCCTGGGCCAGACACCTCCCTCCTGCCCCTGCTTCCCTGACAGATGAAGCCACTATAAATCACCAGCGTTCACCCCAATTCCTGGCTCATCCAGGGTGAGCCCTGGGAGCAGCCGGTGCTGCCCTGGGAGAGGTGGCCCCTGCGCTGGAGGGGCTCTGGGGCTGCTGCCCTCACCGGTTCCCCCAGTGATGAGCACTTCGTGTAAAACGCTCCGTAAAACCCTGGCAGTGCCTTCCCTTGGGAATCCTAGGGGACCGCTGAAGAAAGCTCTGCGTGTTTTCTCTGTGCTGTGGCATTAACACCACTTCTTTTCCCATCCCCTCCTGGGACACACCAGTTGCTGCTGTCCCCGTGACAGAGTGCTTCTCCATGGGCCATTTGCCTCGGTTGAAATAACTTGTTGGTGCTGTAAGAGGCCTCTCCCTGAGTCCTCATGTTCCCTCCATCCTTCTCCCCGTGTCCTCGTGCTCCCTCCAGCCTTCTCCCTAATCTTCCCCACTGTGCTCCAGGGCAAGCCCGTCCTGAGTGGGTGCTGGTGGCTGGTTTGCAGCCCTGGGGATGGGGCCACCACTGCTGGGGCTCGGAGGAGAGGAGAGTGGAGAGGGACAAAGTGGGTGAGGCTAATGCTATGGCATCTCCAGTGGCATTGGCAGCTGAGACGTGTTTGAAAAATCATGATTTCCCCTGCTCAGTGTCCAAAGGGAAAATGCAGCCCCCGAACACCTGGCAGGATGGTACCCAGGGCTGCACCCTGCTCGCCTGTCCCTCCTGGGGACCCTCGGACATCTGGAAGCCGCTCCGAGAGCAATTTGGGCAGGATTCGCTTCTGCAATTACACTTGAATTGCCTTGTGCTTAAAGCAAATCTTTCAACACACGTATCCGAAAGCAATCCTCTTACACAAGTAGCTTTCAATTCTACAACTTAATACAAATCACCAGCTATAGCTATTTCAGGGACACGCTAAATTGAAGAGCCAGCCAGCCAGTGTGGGTTGCTGCTGTAGCTGCAGCTGGTTGTGGGGATCGTGCTCCAGGTGTGCTGGGACTGGGGAGCTTCACTTCTGCTGGGAGGGTTGTTTGTTTTTTTTGTTTTTTACCGATTTCTAACAGCAGCATTTCATGCCTCACCTGAAAATGTTTCTTTTAGATTTAAAATAGATTGCCACTCACTGGGATGCTTGTGCAGGCGGGAGGTTTTGTTTATTTCAGAGGGAAGCTTTAGTGATATGGGATGCACTCTGAAAAAAATAAGTGTTCTTTAGTTAAACGTGGTCTTTTCTATTCTGTCAGAGATCAGTAAAGATCCCGGTCCAGGAAAACCTCTCCAGTCATGATTTTATAACCAGCCCATGCCCTTGCAACGGTGATGTTCTGTTGCTTTAAATCTATTTGACTTAATAACTGGGTAATGCCAACCCATTTTTCCATGGGTTTAGAATGGCCAGAGCCACCCTCCAGCAGCACATTCCTATGGTGCTGCTGGGGTGCAGGGGTGTCTCCATCCTCCCCACTGCCCTGAGGGATGCCCAGGACCCCCCAAAGAACTGCCCTTCCTCTGGTTTGGGGGATTTTGCCCAAAGCACGATGTGTGTCCTGGGTGCCGTTTCCAGCAAAGAGGGACCTGTTGCTTCAATAGCCAACCTGGAGGCTCGGGAGATTCCATCCTAAAGGTAAAACAGGCAAAAATTGTTTTAACCACTTAAAGCCAGGGAGAATTTGAGGAGCCCTGGCTCCTCTGCCTGGTCCAGCCCATCCCCACCGCCGCTGTGCCCTGACTCACGGGGTGAGTCACTTGGCGGGAAGGTGTTGCATTTCATTTTTGAATGAGCTTAAATATATTTGTTTCCAAAACTCTTCAGCAGGAAAACATCCCCCCCAAACAGAGACTTGTCATCCATCAGCTTTGTCTTCATCTGGCTCTGCTCCTAAATCATTTATGATGTTAGAGCCATTATTGTGCCTCAAGGGGGAAGTAAGAAGATATCTGAATTAATTGAAGGAAGGGCATCTTTTTCATTTCATCAACTGCAAACTGAGCCAGGAGTTGGCAAAGGCTGTGGGCCCCACGTGGGGACCTGACCCAGCAGCGAGGACATGTGCTGCTCTAGCAGCTCGCTGCAATGAGGGGGAGGCAATTTGTCCCGGGGAACTATTTAAAAGGAAGCCCTTGGCTTTCTGGAGGTGGGAGCTCACCGGTTCCTTCCCCTCCTCCTCCTTGGCTTCATCTGTCTCCTCCCCTCCCTGGACAACGAGACCGACCGGCGACCACTCACTGCAGCAGGGATGGAGGTGGCAGGAGCTCCTGGGTCTCATTTCCAGCAGGGATGGGACCTCTAGGAGGAGGCAGGGAACCCACATCAGGCATCACCCTGCTCCTTCGGCCAGTCCAAATCTTCACTCCCAATATCCGGGGAGCAGTGGAACGACAGAAGCCAATGAGAGCATGAAGCTGGGGGCACTTTATGGCTGTCATCACCCACTGCCCCATCCCTGGTGCCTACGTCCCCTTCCAGTGTGGGACACAAGCCCGTGTGGCCGCGTCCTTCAGCTCCCCGGAGCAGGGCCACCGTGGCTCGGGTTGTGTCCCTGGTGTTTAGACAAATCCTGGCCTCTCTCTTCATTCCAAAGCCTTCCTCTGTTATTACTTGGAAAAACTGAGGAAGAACAGGTCTTTTTGCTGTTTGTACAGCTGTGGTGACCCCATGTCATGAGCAATCCTCAAAAAGGTGATGCTGAGGTGATCTCCCCATCCCAGAAGATGCTGGGAAATGTTTGCAGAAAGATAGCAGAGGTGGCAATAACCACCTCCGAGAGACAATTGCTGATTTAAATTAATTATCAGCATCTTCTGCAAGCGGGGAAGCCCCAGATGGAGAGAGGCCACAGGATTGAGAGGGTGGGGAGAGCCTGGGCTGGCCCGGGCAGGGGGCAGTGAGGGGGTCCCAAAGCCCTGTGGCTGCTTATGCTGAGGGCAGCTGGAGACGCAGCAGGGCCCTGGAGATGGAAAGGAGCAGAGGCTGGGAACGGTTATATTTAGTCTGGTGATTTCAAGCATTTCCCCCAGAAGCTGCTGTTCATGTTGGACTGGAAATAATTTACTGTCGCAGCAGGCTTTCTATTAGTTTTACTTTTTTTCCTGTTTTTTTTTTTTTTTTTTTTTTTTTTTTTTTTTCTTTTAGCAAAAGCCTGCCCGGTGTTCTCGGCACTAGCCCCCAGGTCTCGTAGCCTGGCTGTGACTTTCCCTGGTGCCTGGACGACCCTCTGCCCTCTCCCCAGGGACTGATGTAGCCAGAGCTCCCTGTGCTGCCTTTCACAGCCAGGGGGACTGGGCGTGTGCATCCCTGACGGGATATCACTGTGTCTGACCTGGCCTTTTCCTTTTATA